ATGATGGGAAATGTGTGGTTGAAAAAGAAGAAAAAATTATTGATGTGATGGAAAATATTATTTTATTGAAGAATATGTGGTTGAAAATGAAAATTGATTTGAGAATCAATTCTCAAATAAAAAACAAACACCCCCTTAATTTTGAAACTGTTTTTATAGTTTTGAGTAATAAAGTGGCCCTCTAAGTTGAAACTTGCAATTTTGTAAGTTTGTGGCCGTGAAGTAAGCAATGCAGTCTGAATTGGAGCGTCAAAGGACTTGGGCTCAATGAATCGTGACAGCAAGGCCACTCTATTCCTTTCCTGTCAAATGTTATTTGCAATGTCTTCAAGGCTGACAGAGTAGCATATCCGCCAAGAGGGCGAATTATGTGTCCCTAGGAGGCCGAATGTCCCAAATTGAGTACTATGGTGAGAAGATTTCATTATTAGGGTTTAAGTCATTAAAAATAATGTGCTTCTGAATTGAGGTCATCTTTTTAAATTTTTCATTCTCATTTCTTGGTTAATAGTTTTATCCTTGAAGTGAAAATGATAGTTTTCTTAACAGAAATTAGAAGGAAAAAAGTGAAAGAAATAATGGAAAAAATTGAATGGAAATTTAGAGGAAAATATTCATTTTTCTGTCTATAAAGCAAAACCCGTGAGAAGTGAATGTACATATCTAAGGGAGAAAATTTGAAATTGACTCATTAGCTTTTTGTTATTTTGAAGGGTGCATAGGGCGGTAGATACCGAGATAAATCTCTCATGCTGATTTCAAATTGTAAATTGAAAGAAACAAGCGTTGAATTGTAATTTTTAGGGAAGGATTTTTTATTTAAACAAGATTTTCATTTTCAATTTTTCTTAATGCTTAATCGTATCTGAAAAGTGTTAGATATAGGATTCATACTGTTAAAAGAGAGAAATTGAGGGAACTCAAGTATTCTGCTTTTGAGCAAATTCGGATTTCTATCAAAAGGAAAGATTGATCCAGTTGTGGTTTCAGTTATATTGAATTGGAAGATTACTGATGGGATGATCAAATAATTGATCTTCTTACTTCTTGCTTGGGATGCATGAGCTTTTTATACTTTCTTTTTCTTCATCATTCCTTAAATTTAGAATTCACTTCTCTCCTCAACACAAATCCCTGCCAGAAGCTTACATATGATTTCTCACAACACAGTTTATTGCTTTGTAGTTCGATTATTCAAGCGTAAATCATCTAATACCATTGCATTAACGGGGCTTAGTGGAAGTGGAAAAACTGTTCTCTTTTACCAGGTCAGCCTTTTAAAAATGGTTAGTGAAATTTTGGATTATGGCCTCTGTCCCAACTTATAGATGTAAAATGTTGTTGATTCAGCTTCGAGATGGCTCCTCTCATCAGGGTACTGTGACATCAATGGAACCAAATGATGGTACTTTTGTGCTACACTCCGAAACAACCAAGGTATTGCACTCTATTTGGTGGCAACGTTCATAAGTAGATATATTCTTCATGTCCTTTGGCAAGCGTGCTTACATGCATAGGAGATTGCTAAGTTCAGTAAAAAGGATGTTTATTCTTGTAGATAATTTGAGGAATTACACTGGATTACGTCTTTTAAGACTAGGAGTGTAAAACATTAATTTCATTTCTCCTTGGACCCTTTCACAAGTTAATTGAAAGATTTGCGTAGCTGAACCTGATTTTGCTTGCATTGCAGAAGGGGAAATTAAGGCCTGTTCATCTTGTTGATGTTCCTGGACATTCCCGTCTTCGACCCAAACTAGATGACTTCTTGCCTCAAGCAGCGGCAATTGTTTTTGTGGTGGATGCTGTGGAATTTTTACCAAATTGCCGTGCTGCTTCAGAGTACATACTATCTGTACCTCGATTGAAGCATACACATGCACATATACCCCCCCCCCCCCCCCTTCCCTTTTCCCACGTGAGTACAGATACTTAATGCATTGACTCTAACATCTCATGTCTATTTTGTGCTAAAGGTACCTATATGATATTTTGATCAAGGCAAATGTAGTGAAGAAAAAGATTCCACTATTACTCCTTTGCAACAAGGTGGATAAAGTTACTGCACATACAAAGGATTTTATCAGAAAACAGCTGGAAAAGGAAATGTAAGGAGCATTTTATACATCATTATGCTTTCGGTAAATAAATTGTTTCCTCTTCCATACTTGCGATCCATTTTGATGTGATTAGTTTCTGGCTCTGCTGCTAATTATTTTTGACAAAACGAACAATTTTATTTTATCATCGAGTGAAATAGATACTCCAACAAAAAAAGGTAACTACAAGCACTCCTAGATAGAATGACGAATGCAACCACATTTAATTCATAAAATGAGGCTAGCGATAGGAGGAATAGGATGGTTGATTGTGTTTTCAGCGATATTAGGCACATTATAAGTAACAGGTTACTGAGCGTTAACGAGGGGATTAGGGAAAGGTAGAAAAGGTACTTTAACGGAAGAAAAACTGATCCAAATTGTTGAGAGGGAGAAAAATATTACTCTAGGGAAATATGGAGATACAAAAAGAAAAAATCGTTTCTCCATTGCAGAATTAGTGAATCTTCTGAGGTACAAGGAAAACATTGAAAAGGAGTAATATATAAACATTAAAGTGGTGAGGTTTAAGATGAATTTTATGTCATGAAAAATTAGGTTGGGTTAAGTGTGTGTTGTTGGGGTGGGGGGGGGGGGAGGGGGGGTGGGGGGTTTGATTTTGGATGCTTTGTAATAACAGCTACAAGATTACAAGGGAAACTGTTATAGGAGAACGATAAGACCAGTAATGTTATACAAGGATGCCGCTCAGCAAGAAGTAATACATGAATTAAATAGGCATGTAAAACAATGATGTCAAAGTCTATGTTTGTTAAGAAATGGAAAAGGATAAAATTAGAAAGTCACATTTGTGAACTCGTAACAGTAGAGCATCAAGGGGAAACAAACAACTCCATTTAATGATAAAGTGAGTTCGTATGGCAACACTAACATGGAGTGATATAAAATGAAAGGATATGACCATCTGAATGGGAAAATAAGTTTCATACGGAGCTTCTTTGGCTAAGCTTAAAAAGTTTACTTATAAATAAATACTTTTTTTATTGGTCAAAGAAATAAGTTACTTCTCATGTAAGTAATTTTTCTTTTTTTTCAAGTTGAAATAACTTAGTTATCCAAACAACTTTGGAAACAAAAAGGTAACTATTATGCTTTAGACAAATGTGATCTTAGTCATGTTGTTGATTTGAGAAATCAAATATGATGGTTGACAGCAGATTTGATATGATCTTCTTCGTTCTCGTTCTTTTCAACCATTTGTAAGGCGTTATTCTCTTCCCAAAGCTCAAGTTACCTTAATCTTCTTCTTCTCATACTTTTCAACCATTTGTATGGCATTATTTCTTCCCAAAGCTCAAGTTACCTTACGCAGTATGCTGTTATTTTATGAATACGTGTTGGCTAATGTACTTGTATACCAATTATCACTGTTAATCCGTACTCCATAAATTGAATTGCTGCTTGCTCTTTTCATTTAGTGATAAGCTTCGTGCATCAAGAACCACACTATCTTCAGCAGACATTGCTAATGAGTATACACTCGGGGTACCTGGAGAAGCCTTTGGGTTTTCTCAGTGCCAAAACAAAGTGACAATTGCAGAAGCATCTGGTTCAACTGGCGATATATCTCAGTTGGAGCAATTTATCAGGGAGCATGTAAAGCCTTGATACAATATGCAGGACTTCGGGAAGTTATGATTTGCTTGATTAGGAGATACTAAATTTCATTTTTCAAATTGCTAACCTCATGGAATGCACCGATTGACGTGTTTGGTAACCAAGTTATTGTAGTGATCTAATTTTACGTAATAAAGATGCGTTGAATGTGTGGGGGAGGCTAAGGAACTGGAAAAGAAAACCGATAGGCTCTCAAATGTATTTT